GTAACAACAGTGATTTCACACCTGCCACTCCATTGTATTTATATTTTAGTCACTGTAATAGTGATAGTGAACTTCAGTTTATTTCTGAGCCATTAGTGTGTATCATCACTTATACTGTCTGTTGGTGATTATTTGTTCAATTCAGATTGTTCAGTTGTTTAGCAAAACATTATGTAGTGGGATAATCTGCTCAGTGGTGCAGTGTAAAATGGAGGATGAATTCATTATTGATACAGTATAGCCTCTATCTCCAGTCTACTAACTGGTAATACTAAATACCAAGGTAATCCCTAACTCTTGTACTGATTGAGCTCGGAATTTTTGTTTCAAGTTTAGCAGAGCTTTTCTTTTAAGGTGAGTGATTCACTCAAGCAAAATTTCATTGGAAGGAAGCTAGAGACTCCTCAAAAAAAAAAAAATATATTTTTTAAATTTTTTTTTCAATTAAACACATGCAAAATTATTTCTGAACACATTAAAAATTACTTGCTTCAGTGCTTTTCAAAAGAGCTATTTTTTCACTCACTATTTTTAAAGGGCAAGGCCTGTTTAGGAATAAAATTTGTATACTGACAGAATACAACTATGGAATATTGTGTAATAAGAGATGTCTTTTATTATGAGGACGAATGACAACAATTTCCTGAAATTTATAGATGCATAAGAAAACGTCCTTGGACTAATTGTACCTTTGCTGAATCATCTGTTGTCGACCTACAGCGTTATGTCATAGCTACTGATAAAATGTCATGAACTCTACAGTTAGAACAGTAGGGAGTGGTGTTCCTTTGATTTGAAATATTGAACACACTTTCAAATTTCAAACCCTATTCAACTCTACATGTAAAGCGGTGTATGACCTGTCTGGTCTAACCACATCAATATAAATATGACAATAGCAGTCTTTTTCAATCATCCAAATTTCATGCAAAACAACTTTAAGACTCAAAGTTGTTATTATTTATGTGTCGAAAGTTCCTGACAGCCATGACCAAGAGCAAATAATCTTTTGATAGTAATTCTTTTTGAGTGTAGACATCTTTTATTGTATTGTCTGTTTCTATGAGATAGTTGGGGTTCCATACACTATCACTACGCCATTGATCCGTATCATATGTATTATGTTCAATGTGATCTTTCATCTTACCTCTCTTCCTTACTTGGTTGTTGTGATCTTAAATTGGTATACGTGTCGATCATTCTGCATATTTACAGGCTTATTGATTGCAGGATTATCTTCTAATTGAATGGTGTCTTTCTTAAGTTTGCATAGTACTATACCGCCAGCCTTGTGTATTGACTCTTGGGCACGTTCATGCTCTTCGGGTTTTCTTGGTGGCATTCTTCACCTTGTTCACTCACTTTTTTACACTCTAGTGACAACAGTGATTTGTCGGGTCTTGTTGAACCCTGTTTATAAACAGAAACTAATATGCAGGTATTTTGGCTTTATTATAAGTGAATTGGCTGGGTGTTTAGCTGTTTTAACTGGCCAGCTTGCACTGATGAATTATAGACCTGTGGCTGCCACCAACTAATTAAAATGAATGCATGCTTTTTAAATGTCAATCATTGTCATATAAAGTTGTACATGTGTGCATGTATGCTGTCTTGTTATGGTTACAAAAGTACAGTCATGCTCATAAATCATCACAACTTTTTATGAGGAATATATTGGAACTGAAATGGAACCTAGTAGTGGGGGATACCTGAGCCTTTTAGAATGTTCGCATCTGTTTGTGGTGGCAATGTAATGTAGTTCTCTCAGCAGTTGGTATGGTACATTACTGTTGGCTGTGCTATTAACAAAACTGTATGTGGCCAATAAAGCATGTACACTGCACCTGCTATTTTCTAATATCTCTGAGCACTCCTTTTAGGGTAGTCCATGAGTATAAGGTTCCGGTTGTCACATTAATACTGGCTTGGTAGGGAATTAATCAGCTTGTACTCGCGTGTCATAAGTAGTGAATATTCTATTGTCACATCAGTACTTAACAAATGAAAACAAAAAACGCATCACTGCAAAATACAGTATGCTACTCCAGCAAAAATATATTGTGTTTAGTGTTTTGATTATAAATTTGGCAACTGACTTTAAAAAAGACAGTAAACTAGAAAAAATATTACATCATAAAGTGGAAAAAAAATAGTATGCTTACTCAAGTCTTTCATGGCATCCCAGGATGTGTTTACATTAGCAGATATACGCCTGTTCTATCTCTGTTTTGTTTGGTTTTTTATTAGAAACTTGATAACTATTTTTGGTAATGCTAGTAAAATAGTATATAGTCTGTTGTGATGGTGCCAGAACATAGTCTGCCTCTGAGAAATGACGCAGTCTTTCCTGTCCACAAGAAATGATGCAGTATGTCCCTGAGAGATGACGCAGGCACCCTATGAGAAACAATAGGAGTTGAATGAAAAGTTGAAATATTCCACATAGCTAATAACAAAACTATGAATAGCCTGATTGCAGTATTTTCAATTTATCAGATGTTAGAGGATTTGGTTTCTAATGACTGTTGTGATGACATTGTACGCATTCTGTAGATGACTTTCTGCTTCGAATGACATACATTGTGCTCTGGATGGAGGGGAGGGGGGGGGGGGCATTGAATATTGACTTCTACCATCACTTCCCATATCTAATATCCACTCTAAAGTGCCATCCTAATCTGACAATAGAAAGTATATAAGTTGAATATAGGGCTGTAGGTCACTTTTGAGATTCATCATATGGTCAATATGATTATATTTTACATGGCCTTTGAATTCCATTCATGCATAGCACACAAGGTCTAGGTCATTACAGTTTTCTTTTAGTTTCTCATATAGCTCCCTCATAAAATGTTATCTCATCACATCAAATTGATGAAAAACACTTCTGTTGTATTTCATTTCTATTGGTGATATTGCTCCTCTTAGTTTTCAATGACAAACCTGTGTTTGGAGTCTTTTGTTCTTTGCATTCTTAAATTTTTATTTTCGCTAGTGTTAATTTATTTGGATTCTTTACAGCTGAAAACATTCCTATCAAATGTTGAGATTTTTTCTAGACAATGTTGTTAATAAGAAACTATATTTTTCATACAAGTGTTTTTTAAAGCCAATTTCAACCTATTTCAACTTGTTTCAGTCACTGTAAGCATGGGAGTAAAGAGGCATTCAAAACCAGCCCTAGAACAATGGGACTAAAATAGTTTGAATTGTTTGCCAACAGATCGTATAGTTTATTTTCTGACCCACTTGCAAAGATTAGCTTACTGTTATTCAGGGGAGTTTGTTGCAAATTAGCTTATCTCGCGCACACTTAGGCAGTGATTGTCGTAATTTGCATCACTTCTGGTTGAAAGACGTTGTTTACATTTTTGTTCTTGAAGATGTTAGTGGAAAATCACAAATAAATATTATCCCTGATTCATATAAAGCATTGTGATATTAAAGGACATTTTTATATTGTGAAATTAATTTGGACTAAAACAAAAGAACTCAAGTAGTATTGGCTCTGACTTTTTTTTGCTTTCAGTAAGTATTTAAAGCTTGTGCAAGGGATCTATGGGCAGGAAGTAATATCTATTGTTTGATTTTTATTCAAATCCTGGAAGTCTATTTGTTTCATTTTTAATGTAGGAAATAACACTGCTTCTCCCATTCTACTGTTAATATAAAATAAGTTGCAAGTGGTGTATTGGAATGTTCCAATGCCTTGCATGCAGTTCAAACATTCGGCTTTGTGGATGATTGTTTTTAATTTGTGTATTGGTTAGAAGTCTTAAATGCAATTACAATATCATGTAGATATGAAATAAATCCCTTTAGTACCAATGTGATCAGATAATTTATAAAGTAACCTTTATTTTTAGAATTCATATTCGGAGGGTGTCTACATCACATTAGTCTGTATATAGTCTTTGTCTAATGGAGGAATATTTCATTTGGTAATACCTAATGCACATATGTATCAAATACAAAATATAAGATGATTTATTTGAATTGCATTCAATTTATGCAGCCACCACTTATTGGAACTCTGAAATTTAAAACATTATTTCCTTTTTTATTTCAAAAGCTATAACATTAATGTATAATGAGCCTGAGTGAGACAAAGATTGGATTGTGTCGGAATGAGCCATTCATTTATGCATTCTACTTTAAGAATCATTAGAACCATTAGTCCTTTCTGAGTGTAATTGATGCTAACCTCATTATAGCCAGATCCCTGGACTTGAAATTAAATTGCTCAAGCAGAAATGTACGGTAATTGAAAACTACACAGCATTTTGCTTGCCAATCACATGTACAGCTAGTTGTTAGATTACTGATATGTTGTTAGAATATTCCCACTCACATGTATGTTGAAATAAAATTGTTTGACTGACAGTTGTATTAGGCCAATGTCTATGATCTGTCTGTATATGTGGTATATTTCCTCAATTAGTTTTCCAATTTAAATTTTTTTTTTTATTGTTCAGATTTAGACAAGGCCTTGTAAATTTTGAGTAATATACGTGTTGTGGAGAGGAAATCGCTATAAAATGTAACTAATAAATTTTTTTTTACTAGCAATGTTGTTTTGAATCATCAATCATATTGTCAATTGTTGTCAAATTTAAAATACCCCAAATTTGCATTTAATATAAAGCGTAATGAAATAATGCCCATGAAATTTGTTTACAGAGAATATACCATGTATAAAACTGCTTGCACTCGCTATCTGCATATCTGCATGTTTCTTAGCAATGACTTGTTCTCTACACATTGCAACTGTATTTTTCTCTCTGCAACTCAATCGGTTTGGGGTGTGAGTGTGTGTGTGTTGTGTGTATAATATAATTGGTAAATTGATATTTTCATAATTATTACACTACATAATTGTTTGCAGTGGTCTGGTTTCGAGTATTCACTTGTTTGTATTTTTTAAATGCCATTCCTTATTCTATTAGGGCTATAATTTAAACACAATAAAACTAAATGATTTTTTTCTTTTTAATCAACAGACTACAGCCACATTATATGTATCCCCAGTACATGAGTGCCGCACAACCCAGCGTGGTGGTACCATCTCCACATACCCCACCCCCAACACAAGCCTATGTGGACTACTCAGCCTATGCTCAGTACCCAAATGGAACTGCCTATGATGCTTCAACATATCCATATTCAACTCAAGGATATGTATCTCCTGCTGCTGCGTATGGTTATGCCTTGCAGCAACCTCTGTCTGCAACTCCTGCTACCAATGGACATTTCCCACAGTACCAGCAGACACAACAGATCCAAGAACGGATGCAGTAGTAATCTTTTTTCATCACATCACTGAATCCAGAGAATTGAAAAACTATGCAGTTCTATTGATCAAGAACATTTACAAGTTCACAGGAGAAACACCAACCTTGTACCACATACATCTGTACTATTCCTGTACATATGCTGAATACCACATACATCTGTACTATTCCTGTACATATGCTGAATACCACATCTGCTAAAAAAACTATGCAACAGCTTTGTTTGTGTAAATATACTTATGATCAGTTTCAATTAAACTATCTGTTAAATTTGTTTCAGTTTTTTTTAATTGTTGATCAGATCTACATGTGTATATATAAGAAGCAACATCAGGGCTTAAAAACAGTTTTTAATCTTCAGACTTCTGAGATATATTTCTTGTTATTTGTGGAGGAAATTGTCTTATGGATATCAACCTCTAAGCGAGGTGAATTATGTTAAGTGGAGGTCCCAAGTATCTACATTTTTGAGTTAAAGTTTTCCATTATTAGAAACTGATATAGACATTCTTATTGTCCCACTGGAAAGCTACTCAAATGCTAAGGTTTCTCCTGTGAGCTTTTTTTACCCTCTGTTCCCCATTTTTAATGGAATGATCCATATTTTATGCATAGTATGTGGTACATTTTTTTCCGGAGAGGGGTGGGAAGTGGGGTGACATTTATAAGGGTTTGAATATGTATACAACTAATTATTCGTTCCATAAAAACAGAAAAAAAGAAAAAAAATCCAATCCAAAATTATGACAAAAATTCAATTTTTGTCAGAAAGAAAATTCAAGAGCAGTTTAATAAAGAATGAGTCCAAATATTTTCAAATTTCTAGTAACAGTAGTTTATATTGACTGTGTCTTGATGGTTTAAGGCAGTCCACACAAAACTTAGAATACAAAAAATACTGAGCTCATTTTTACATATTTTAGAAAGCTGTATAATTTAAGTGTACTAATAGGCTATATTATTTGTAATGGCGTAAAACCCGTCCACATGCATTCAACTTTTCCTGCCTTTAGGAGGGTATCAATATTACAGTACATATTAATTAAGGAGACACTATGTTTAATCAGGGTTATTACTTAAACCAGATTGTAAATTTTTATTTCATCAACATATACTGCATGCTTATTATATTATGCTTGTACAATTAGTTTGGAAGTCAGTTAAGTGGATGGAAACACCTAATGGATTTGCTAATAAGCAGTTATTTTCTCAATTTGGCATTCGTGAACTAATCAAGCTAGTCCTTGTTTCTTATACACCTGACTTGATTCTCAGTGGATACGACCAATGTTATCAGTTGGTCATGGTTTTAACACACAAAAATGCTGTTTGATTCTTGTCCATATATTTTTGTATACAAACAAAATATTGGTTAACAGTTGATTATTGGTTGGCTGACTTTTAAGCTAATAGTGAACTTAGATACTATAGAAAGCTAACTTTTAAGCTAATAGTGAAATTTGCTACTAGGAAGTTTACTTTTAAAAACCCTTCAATGTAGCTGAAAATATGTAGTATATGTATGAAATTCAATTCAAACAAAGAAAATATTTAGATTTCTAGAAAGTACAATATTTTACTTGTCAGTCTAAATTGTTACTTTGTTGTATTATTATTAATTGGCTAAGTTAAGACCTATTACCATGAACTTTTCACAGCAATTTTATCAAACCAAAGACTTAATTATGGTACTTAACTCTTATTTTATTTCTCATCTGCCTCTCGGTGGTGTGTTGTAGCATCATAATTCAGGTGTCTTTAGAAAATTATGCAGAAATCATTGAAACCTTGCATTATAAATGTAAATAAATAAGAAGGCTGTGTAAAATGGTTTCAGCACTGCAAGAGGCCAATGTTTCATTGCAGCGATATTTAACAAAAACAAAATGAATCAATGTAATTCTTTGATCACACTACCTCTTCACTATTTACTACTTGAATTAATATTTTCCTGTATATCCGCCGTCTTTCCTCATTTCGCTTCCACTTTCCCCAGTTTCTCTTTCAATTCACTTCTAAGGCAGCTTATAATTATCATCATAATCCGTCCATAAAGAGCATTATGTAACAGGATGGTCTAAAGAATTGAGTTTTTCCCCCAAAAAGTTGTTTTAAGATCTTGATTTTAATTTACATGGTGTTACCCTCTATTTTTATGTTTGTTACCATTGCAAGGCTCACCAGAGCATTCAACTATCTGCAAACCTTATATCACCTTTTATTGATCATAAAATGTGATCCTAACTTGCTAGTTATTAGTACAGCTGTTATGTAAGAGTACCAGATTTGTGAGTCATTGCATGGTAAATCAACTATATTAGTAAGTTCTGGCAGTAAATGATTAGGAGATTATAGAAAATTTGCTCCTTTCCTGCCAAGAGCTTTGTATTCTGGTGCTTAAGGAGGGTAACACCTACTTTTGACCTTTCCTCATTTTAGGACGTCTTTGCAAAACAATGTTTATATGCATATATATTGCATATTTACTAAAATAATGCAACAACTGTTTGATTTAGAGTATTTGAAAGAGAGCTGGATAGTGTAATGGAGAAGGGTTCCTTATAGAAAAAGCTGTCTCATAAAGGGAACAGCTAGTAATGTCAAGTTTAGCGAGTCCATACAATATTATATTAATGATTTCACAATTTTTTACTTTGGAAATTAAGTATTATCTTTTTACAAACTATCCTTCAAGGACAGTACAAGGAATTACAATTATTGTAATTATTATTAATTATTATTATTATTAATTATTATGTAGAGGTTCAATTATCTAGTTTTATACATGTATCAATTAGTATATGTCTACATGTTTAGTATGCAAATTATACCATTTAAAAACCTTTTTCCTTCCATAATTTAAGGCAATAAAAGATACAAACAAAAGTTTAAAATTGTTGTGTTATTATATTTGTGTGTGTGTGTGTGAGTGTTTGCTTCATAATTGCCCGGCATCTACAAATGCTTCATGGTAGACTATGTGGAGTACACATAACCTATGTTCTAATGTTATGAGATATTGCTGTGATAGAATGCTCTTGTTTGCACTCATGCACTGTGACGAGTTAGCAAGAACTACTTTAGGCCTTCACATTCAAAAGTGAAAAACGATGATGTTTCGCTACTGCTGTAGGTATTTGTAGGTTTGTCTTGGTAGATCATTCGCTACTGCTGTAGGTATTTGTAGGTTTGTCTTGGTAGATCATTCGCTAATGCTGATCCCTGCGTAGCTTTTTTTTGGCAGTTGGCAAAATTGTTAACGAAATAATCAAAGTACTTGGCTTTAGCTGGGTGATACAAGTGACAACATTAGCTGTATCATGCACAATAAAGGGGAGTGAACAATACAAAGACAAATCTGCTCTTATAATACTGTGATAATTTGTGATAATTAGTTTTTGTTTTACTGTAAATAAGTGGGAGTTTTTATAAATTTGTGAAGTAATTGCAATTGTTTTGCCTAATGTGTGAAACATGTACTTAGAGTCTCTGTGGTTACCCTGTACATGTTTCCTTGCAATAAAACTTGGCATGTATGTACTCTAAGGTAATCCTGGGACATGATTACTATAGAGTTGTATTTATCTGATATTTATGATATTTCAAGAACAAGAATTTAAAATAAAACTTGGCATATATGTGGTGAATATTAATCACCATATTTGCATAAATTAGCAGATGTATGATACGTTATTTGAATTAAACTGAGTGCATGCATATAGGTGTTCTTGAACATGCAATCAAAATTTTTAATATTCTAGAATTTACTGTTGAACAGATTGCTTTAGCATTATGCATCTTGAAGAGCGGAACTGTATTAGTCGAGTATTTCTTTTTTTCTATTTCACAATACATGTACTCTACATTGGAATTCTTTAAGTTAATTTTCTCCATATTGTGTTGAAACTTTGGCATACAAATATATCCTGAGATTGACTGTTTTCTCATAACAATAGATAATATAACAGAAAATGGTAAATGGCAACCTTAAATAGAGTTTAACTTGAATTTGAATATGTCGGGACAATGTGTAGCTCTCCCACACCAGTTTAAATATGTCTCACCCTTACCCACACCAGTTTAAATATGTCTCACCCTTACCCACACCAGTTTAAATATGTCTCACCCTTACCCACACCAGTCTAAATATGTCTCACCCTTACCTACACCAGTATGAATATGTCTCACCCTTACCCACACCAGTCTAAATATGTCTCACCCTTACCTACACCTGTCTAAATATGTGTCACCCTTACCCACACCAGTATAAATATGTCTCACCCTTACCCACACCAGTCT